CCCCAAAACCCCAAAACCCCAAAACCCCTCTTCTAAATGAACTTTGAATATACAAGGTTAAACAGTATAAATTTTATATTAGTATTATCATATCATATATTAGAAATTTCTGGAAAGATTGAGCTCTGGCCCAGAATATTATTCCTTCTGGTCTTCATAGGTGAGTTCTTCATTCTAAATGAATCCAAAGTATCATTGATATTTAGATTACCATTTTTATTAAAGGCATTACCACCCCCCGAATAAATTTTATCAATTTCAATATCATAAGAATCACCTTTTCTATGATTTCTTCCAGAATTCATCATTTAGAGATTGCGACCAGTTGCTGTTCCACCAGCTACCTTAGAGTTTTATATTGCTGCTGCTTTTCTTCCAAATATTCCAAGATGATATTGACTCTATGTTACCTAATCATTGATTTTAATACTGTTCAATCCAATTTATAAGTCTTAAGAATGATTTGAGTGTTAATTTACCTCCCCATACTCCTAGCTATCTATGAAAAGATGTGAATTATTGATATTCTTATCACCCCCAAAACCTACTTCCACCTAGGAGTTTTTGTGAATTTATGGATCTCTTGAGGATCTTCCACCAAAAGCATGATCACTGCTATCCATCATTAAGCTTGTACCAGAAATCTACGACTAATATTAGGCTCTTGATTTTTCCACATCTGCTAAAGCAGTTCTAATCTCAGTTTGAAATCTTTGCTAATCATTTGAGTTAAATTTTGGTATTTCAGCAATTGAAGTATTCTTTTTATGATTCTATTTCCTTTAAGAAGCTAATGCTTCCTTTAGAGATATAGGATCAGTTGACTAAGTGAAATTTCTTTATGCTTTAACTCCTCTTTTATATTATAATATTCCGCATCTTTTAAGGCTTTCTTAAGCTTTGTTTAAGCTTATGTTATCAATATTTAGTGTTTGATTAGATTAATGTAGAGCTTGCTTTGATGAGACAAGATACAAGCCATTGGGGTCTTATCTTATTTACTCACTCTATTAGTGATGCTATGTCTCAAGATAACTATAAAGTTATTGTGAAGTTTCTTAAAGTATTTGAATAATAGTTCCAATATTAAGTATGTCTTCATTTATATTTATTTGCTCAGATTTAATCTTCCTAAGTTAAGTCATTATAGCCTTATTGTATTGAAGCATATCGCTCTGATTTTATTGGAGTCTTGTATTTTATCGATCTAATTCATCTTTCATGTCATTTTATAAAGATTATAGGTCATCAACTCTAGAGATCACTCTATCAAAGAAAACTTTTTAATCTGCTTGAATTCTTTCAAATTCTTTCGCTATATTTGCACTTTATATCTTAAAAGCATCTTAAATCAACTAATTGGTCGCATTATGTAATTATTCTCTCAAATCGTCTATATTTTCAGAATCTTCATCATCTTGCTTTATGCTTTGCTTTTTCATCCCATATATGCTTCCATTAAAGGTCATATTCTTTTTGCTAATCATGCTCTCTCTTTGCTTTTGAAAACTACCAACAAGCGATTCTCCCATTTACTAAACCAAATTATTATTAGAAGTAGCAACACTTTCTCTTTCATATCTGGTCATTAGATCTAAAACTTTCTCTTTTAGCATTGGGTTTCCATGATCATCAAGAATTTTCTATCTCAATACCTCATTTATTTTATAGTCATAATCGATTAACTTCATTTTGCCCTTTCTATTTAGGCATTCCTTCAAAGTCTCTGATATCTAATTTTGGATTCTTAGAGGTTGATACTTTTCAACCCAATTCTCTAATGATTTATTTGCATTTTTGTTTTCATCATTTTCAGTTGATAAGAAATTTAACTGATCATTCACAGCCTTCATATCTTCTTTGTATGAAACCATATTTATTTTTTTATGATCCATCATTATCATCTGTCGATTGGTCTCATCATTTTTACTCTCTAGTGATTACATCGTTTCAAAAATTGTCTTAATCTAGTATTTGATTTCTTCTATATCAGGTTATAGATTATTGAATTTATTGGTCAGTTGCCTAATAGAGTTTTACACCTCAAAATAGTTTGTGTTGTAGTCGTGCTTTAACTTTGTGAATTCATCATTTAAATCATGTTTGTACCTCGACATTTACTCGTCAAAGAGAGACTGCTTCTCCTGAAACACTTCAAACTGTTATTTCAGAATGTCGTTTGATGTTATTCGGTTATTTGTCTCAAATATTCTATCATCTACCACAACGAATCGAGCATCTATTTCGCCTTGGTGTCTTTCAATGTCTTGTTTGATATTTACCTCGAATTTGATGAATTTTTACTCGAAATCATCGAATATAGTACTGGTGTCTTTTGACTTGAAAATAGTATTTTCAAGTGTACTGATTTTATCATCGTGGCTTTTCTTAGATTACTTGAGCTTCAAGATGTTTTATCTATCTTCCTGCTATCTTTCAATAACCGGAACTACTAATTCTTTAATAACCTTTCTCATTCTCGTCTCGAAATCCATCCATTAGATCTCTTCAGATTTAACTAAATACCTTATAAATTACTTGAAGTAAGTTACATGGTTATGACATTTAATTGAATTTTAATAGGTTCCTTTAATTACAAAAATAATTATAATTTTTACTTAATTATTATATTAAATAATGAAGTTAGAGAAAAAGAGAAAATTTTTCAAGAACACTCTGTATTCAAAGACAGATATTTATTATAGAAAAGCTAAGGAAGAAGGCTACAGAGCCCGTTCTGCTTACAAACTTCTCTAGATTGATGATGAATTCAAAATATTCTAAAATGTAACAAGAGCAGTTGACTTGTGTTCAGCACCTGGTAGTTGGTCCTAGGTTTTATCGAATAAGCTCTACAAGTCAGATGAGGAACGTAAAAGCACTGATTAGTTGAGAGTGGTCTCAGTCGATTTATAGGAAATGGCACCTATCGATGGAGTAGCTATTATTCAAGGAGATATTACGACTCAATAGACTTTAGATAAAATCTTAGGAGTATTTAAAGGAGAGAAAGCTGAATTAGTAGTGAGTGATGGAGCTCCAGATGTCACTGGATTTCATGAAATAGATTAGTATTTGCAAGCCTAATTACTGCAAGCAGCCCTTACAATCACATAAAATATGCTTAGAGAGGGCGGAATCTTTGTTGCAAAGTTCTTTAAGAGCAGTGACTTATCTTATTTGTATGTAATGATGAAATAGATATTCAGGAATGTATATGTAGTCAAGCCATAGAGTTCAAGAGCATCAAGTGCTGAGGCATTCGTGATTGGATTGAGTTTTATAGAAAATAGCAGTCTTGTGCTCTCAGACTCAATGAAGACACTCAGCAGCTATGCTCATAATCCTTAAACAGTCAGCATAAAAGAAGAAAATAAAGAAGAAGAAGATGAAGACGATGATGATGTGCTAACATTTTGAAAAGACTCTAGGAATCAATATATATTATGCAATTAATTAACTTTATTTATTTGGCAGTTCAAGAGACTCACTTATTAAGTTGAAGAGGGGTTTTGGGGTTTTGGGGTTTTGGGG